ATGTATTTATCATTGCTTTGTGTTAAGAACATGCAAAAACCTCTTCTAGCTGTTTTGTGTCCCCCTGGGGCCTCTACATCTCTTCTGTTGCAGAAGGCTCTACTTTTTACATCACATGAAAGTAATTGGACTGTTTCAAAATATATTAAGCCCAGAAATGAAATAATTTTAGAAGGGTTAAGTTTATCTAGAAAAACCCCAAGTTTTTAGAATCTATGGTGATTACAGAAATGAAGCATCAGGTAAAAATAAATTTTTATCATGAAGGAAATAGCTCTGTATGGCAGAGGCACTTTTAAACAGAATTTTCCTCTCCTTTTCTGGATACTTTCTCTATTGGCTTGTATGACACATGGGAAAACTTTTTAAAAGCTATAGTGTGGACAGTTTCTTCTGTCATCGGCGTTGTTACGTGGCCTGTGTGCTGGGTCTGGTGCTGTCCCTTTCCACAGAGCATCGGGCTCGTGGCTACGGAGATACTGCTGGTAAACAGCAAAAAGAAGGAGCTATCCTGTTTGGTGGATTCCCCTTCAGGGTCCTGGTCACTAACAGTAATCCCTGTTTTCAGTCTGTCGACAGGTCTTGACATCCCCTCAGGGCATCCTGACTATAGAGCTGAATTTTGCCTCCAGTTATGTGTGCACATCCTCACAGCACTATCATTGTCACTTTTTTTTGATACTTCTACTCTAGTATCTTGTGATTTTAGAGGCAGCTTTGTAACTACCTCAGCAGTTGTCACCTTTTTCTTTTGGGTACATCTCGTGATGTGCGTGCTATTAGTTTCCATGGTTCTACTTTAATGTCTCCCTCCTCCCACCCAGTTTTAAAATAGTACGTACTACAGTTGCCAGTGTTTTACTGAGCTCCTAAATGGTTATTATTCAGGATGGAGAAAAATGAAGACTTTAGATTATTTGAGGAGTAATTGGTTTTCAGGGCTCTGTTGTTCACTGGTTCCTAGTGGGACAGTTAGTGGCTTTGACCATGTTTCCTCAGTGGAACACAGAACGTGGTGGTGTTGATCTCTCTCTCAGACCCTCTTCCAGCCCTGAAGTTTGATATTTTTTCCTAGTGTTTTCTGGTACATATTGATCTCAGTAAATATTTCCTGAATAAGTAAGATCAAAAAGAAGAGATAGTCTGCCTTACCCCTGGAATTAGGAGGAATGGTTCCGCTGGGGCTGCCAGGTGGCACTGGTTCTTGTGCAGACAGGTCAGTGTTGTCTTTTGTGGTGTAGAAAACGTTTTCTTCTTCAAGGTCAGAGCCCTGTGATACCAGCAATACTGTTGATCATTAAGTTAATGTAGCCCTTTAAGTTAATTTAGCCCAATTTAGCCTTCTTAATGTCAATTTAGTGCCATGTCCTTAGATTATATCACTTTATAACACAGATTCCCCTCACAGAATCTTGTTTCTGTTTTCTGGGATCTTCTGCCCCATTATGGGGGCTCTCTGGATAACAGGTGGATTATTTGAAAGTGAATTCTGAATATTCTTAAAACTTATGAAAATTAACTTTCATATATAATAAACATTTAGAATAATTTCAAAAGTATATTTTTCATGAAGTTTTAAAATTATTTTCTATTTATGATGAATGAGTTTTCTCTAGTGTTTTTAAAGTGAGAATACTTTTGCTAATTCTGTTTCAGGAGAGGTAAGAGTCTCATAGTATAGTAGGGTTCATGCAGTATTTTTACAAAGATCATTGAACTTGAAGTCAAGTGTCAAACACCACTGATCTTGGCTGGGTAACCTTGGAGAGCCATTGATGTCCAGATACTGTCTTTTTCCTGTCAAATGGAGGTAGTGTGATAATGGTTGTTGTGATCATGAAAATGGCATAATATGTGGAAATATCTAGCAGAAAAGCTAGCATAAGGTGGGAGTTCTGCTATTCCTAGCTGTGTCTGTCTTTGAAAATAACAGGATAAAGTACTTTTTAATTAAGCTAGTTTTATTTGGAAACCTTTAAAAAGAATGATTGCACTATAATTACAGTTCAAGATGCCTGATATTCTTTAGAAAAACAAGACACAAGAAAGTGACAAGCCTTTGTTAGCTCCAAGGGAGCTATGGCTAAGGTTGAGAACATTCTCATGTTAGGAATTTTCCATCGGAGGAACCTGTTAGCTAATTTTTTTTTTCAAATATGTAGATTTGAAGTAGAGAAAAAGGGACATGAAAATGTGAGAGAAAGCTTTGCTTATTTCTGACACTTCATTTGTGGTGTGGCTTGTTGCCATCCTATCATTCACTGTGTGACATAGCTCTGGGGTTATTTTTGTTTGTTTTTCGATTTGGGGAAGGCAGCTTTATTCACATACCATGTCAGTTCACCCATTTAAAGTGTACAGTTTAGTGGGTTTTAACATATTCACAGGACTATGCAACCATCACAATTTTAGAACATCTTCATCACCCCAGAAGGAAACACTTTAGCTTTCATTTCCCCCCACCTCCCCATTTTTCCCCAACACTACCAGTTCCAGGTACCAGTCCATTTTGTGTCTCCTGTAACACAATACCCAAGACTGGGTGATTTATAAAGAACAGAAATTTATTTCTCACAGTTCTGGAGGTTGAAAAGTCCAAGATCAAGTTGCTAGTATCTGGTGTCTGGTGAGGGCCTTCTTGCTATGGCTTCACATGGCAGAAGATGCAAAGGGAAGCTGGCATGATTGTGTGTCTTCATGTGGCAGAAAAGCAAAAGGGAACCCACAACAAGCCATTTTTCTAGAAGCTTTAATCAATTCATGAGAGCCGATTCAATCAATTCTAGAAGCTTTAATCAATTTATGAGGCAGAGCCCTTATGACTCAAACACCTCACATTAGGCTCCACCTCCCGACACTATTGCATTAAGGATTAAGGTTCAGTTTGAATTTTGGAGAGGAGAATTGCATTCAACCGTAGCACTATGCAACTGCTAATCTGTTTTCTGTTTCTGTAGATTTGCCTACTCTAGATCTCTCATATTAATGGAATCATATTGTGTCTGACTTCTTTTACTTTACATGTTTTCAGGGCTCAAACATGTCTTAGCATGTATTGGTACTTTATTCTTTTTATTGCCCAATAATATTCCATTGTCTGTGTATACTACATTTTATTAATCTGTTCATCAGTTTATGGACATTTGGGTTGTTTCCACTTTTTGGTTATTAATGATGAATGTTACTGTGAATATTCGCATACAAGTTTCTGTGTGAACATATGTTTTTATTTCTCTTGGGTGTGTGCCTAGGAGTGGAATTGCTGCGTTTTATGGTAACTTTATGTTTAACCTTTTAAGCAACTGCCAACTCATTTTTCAAGTAGCTGTGACATTTTACATTACTACTAGCAGAATATGAGGCTTCCAGTTTCTCCATGTCCTTTGTAACACTTGCTATTGCCTATCTTTTGATTCTAGCCATCCTAGTAGGAGCCAAGTAATATCACATATGTGGTTTTGATTTACATTTCTCTGATGGCTAATGCTGAGTATCTTTTGATGTGTAATGGCCATTTGTATATCTTCCTTGGAGAAGTGTCAATTCAGGTCTTTTACCCATTTTTTTAATTGGGTGATTAGTCTTTTTATTATTGAATTATAAGAGTTCACAAATAACAAAATAGTCTATATATAAATTACTTATGTCTATTGATTCCCAGAGGTTTTTATGCCACAATACATGGATTTGGTTATAATAACCATACTGATTGAGTCAAGCTCTGCATTGACAACTATATATGAGTTATTCTCATAATAACTCAAAGGTATATATAATATTGCCCTCAGTTTATACATGCAGAAACGTAGGTGCAAAGGAGTTAAAAAACTAGCCCAGGATCAAACTGTTAGTAGTTACTGCCTAGAGTTTGAGTCATACCTGGGCCTCACTATATGCCCAGCATTGACTGCACTAGGACTCGTGTTGACACAGAGCTGCGTGCTGCTTTGCTGGAGCTTGGAGTTCCTGGCATATGTGTGTACACTTACTCATGTTCATGTGTTTATACTGTGTCCAGTCATCAAGTGTCAGCCTTGACCTCTCCTGTCTCTGAGTCTTTGTGTCCATAACTCCACTGAGTTCCTTTCTATGTGTACTGCACAAAAACTTTTTATGTGTACTGCACAGCTACAGTCTACTGCATCTTGGTTTTATGCTGTTTTTTTTTTTTTTTATGTTTATTACCTAGATAGATAAGACAGGTAAATATCTTTCATCGACGGCCTTAGCTTAGTAAAAGCAAGGTTGGATTAGAAAACTCTGCGGGATTTATGAGGATTATTTTGACTTTTATGTAAGAAGAAATTTCTAAGCAGCTAAAGCTGTCTCTCAGTGGAATCAGCTGCCTGTTGAAAACTTTCCAGAACTGTATGTATGCAAGCAGCATTGGAGTGTCCTTCTCCCAGAATGTTGTAAAATGTATTTCTACACAGGGTGTGGGGTTGGATCCTGAAGCCTCTGTCACATTGGAGAAGTGCATGCCTCCAGCAGAGCTGACAGATAATACAAGTGTAGAACAGCGTGGCACTTTCTCATAAGATCTGGCTTTAGGTTTTGTTTTTATTTTTAAGACTGAATAAACAGTGCTAGACTCTTGGAAAATAACAAGGTAAAGTTGTCTTTATCCTTCACAATATAACCTTTGGAAAAACTTCTAATTACTCGGACACTGGTATAAAACATTAGTTTTTATACATGAGAAAGGACTCTGGTTAAGGGTGTAGGATTCTGGGGTCAGCCAGATCTGTATTTGAGTCTAAGTTCTGTTGTATCCTTGCTGTGTGACCTTGGGCTAGTTACTTTGCTATTGTATGCCTTGGTTTCCTCATCTGGAAAATGAAAATAGTAAGATCATCTCCTTTGAACAGCTGTTAAGATTCTATAATGCTTATCTGACACATAGTACATGTTCATTAAATGTTTATTATTTGACTGAGGGAGGATTAGGGATGGATATGGTTGTTCAAGTAAACATAACCTTATTTTTAAATTTTTCTCAGTGGAAACACAAGAATAGAAGAGGCATGTGAAATGTACACCAGAGCTGCAAATATGTTCAAGATGGCTAAAAATTGGAGTGGTATGTACAAAGTTTTTGTTTGTTTGCTCTTCAGGCAAATAGTTTAAAATCACTTTGAAGGAGAAAATGACTGTGTTCCTGAAAGAGTAAGACTCTTAGCCCTAGAGACAGGTGTTGGTACTGAATAACTTATGTGGCCACTGTGGATGGGAACTAAAGGAGCGTGCTCTGAATGAACTAAACTTAGAAGGCTGACTTAAGTTCAAACACAGGGACAATGTTTTTCTTACTCTCTATAAACCACCTAATACAGTAGGTATGTGGTAACTAAAAAGAGTTAAAATTATTTAGAATTAGAAAGCATAATCTTTGCTTCTTACTAGTATGCTGAAATAAATACAGTGCCATAAGGAATGAAAGTTGGAGTAAAACTCATTGAAAGCTAATGGGATAAATAGAAATGCCTCGTTTACTTTACCTGAACATTGGCTGAGAATTTCTAACTATTCCTTGCTCCGAGATAACTGTGATTTCACTGAGAACTGTGACAGTGGGGTGAGGGGGTTTACATAAACCTCAAGAAGACTCATTATTTTTTAAAGTGATGCATTCTATCCAGTGAGATCACACATAACAGAATCCACAGGATTATTCTTTTCATGGATCTGAGAGGGGCTGGCTCTTCTAACACTGATTTCAGAGAGAAATTTATTCCCCTCCTCGTGGCAAAGAGACTTTACATGGCTTGGTGATGGGGTATTTCTGTTGTGAAGATAGAGACCACTTTTGGCTGGAGCAGGGGACATGGGTCTCAGGATCTAGCTCACAGCTGCTGCAGGATTGAAAGTGGGCCCCTCGTCCTCTACAAGCCATTTCCCCATTTGCTTATAAGTTTAGTTTTAGGTAAGAGTTTATTTAGTTAAAAAGAATTTTTTGTTTTTTTTTTGTTTTTTTTTTGAGTCAGGGTCTCACTCTGTTGACCAACCTGTCTAAATGCACTTATATCTGAATTATATTGTATTTTTTACAGTGAAAGAGAAAACAGTTTTGTCTCTTCATCCCATTTTTCATTTTGTTTAGATCTTATAATTATAGGTGAAAGTTGATCTTAACCTAAAGAGACCACTTATTATTTATTGTATCTGGTGATCAGATATTCTAATGTTTGGAAATTCCATTTCAGAGAGGCCACTTATCATTTATATAACTAAGAAGGCTTTGTGTGTATCCTCCCCCCTTCCCCCAAATAATCTGTTGCCTGGGGTGATGCTCTGGGTGTAGCCTCCTGACATCTCCATGGCTTCTGTGCTTTCTCAGTCTGTTTTCATGAAGTAACATAACACAAGTTATGTCTGGTCATATCAATCCAGATGAGAACTGACTTTCTAACAGTGGCTTTCAAGGACTGTCCCCTTCCTTCCTCTGACCTCATCTCCTCCTACCCACTCCCCTTTGTGTGCCCAGCTCCTACCTCAAAGCCTTTGCATGGGCTGTTCCTTCTGTCTGCATACTCTTTCCCCTGACAGAATGTGGATGGTTCCCTGCTTCCTTCAGGCCCTTCAGATGTCATCTTCTTAGTGAGGTCTTACCTTTTTTCTAAAAAAATAGCAACATTCTCCTTCTGGGACATTTCCTTTCCTTTTCTCCTATGTCCTTACCACCATCTAGCAAAAATAAATTACAGGCTGGGCATGGTGGCCGATGCCTGTAATCCTAGCACTCTGGGAGGCCAAGGCAGGAGGATTGCTTGAGGTCAGGAGTTCGAGACCAGCCTCAGCAGGAGTGTGACTTCATCTCTACTAAAAATAGAAAGAAATTAGCTAGGCAACAAAAAATAGAAAAAATTAGCCTGGTGAGGTGGTACATGCCTGTAGTCTCAGCTACTTAGGAGTCTAAGACAGGAGGATTGCTTGAGCCCAGGACTTTGAGCTAGGCTGACACCACAGCACTCTAATCTAGTCAACAGAGCAAGACTCTGTCTCAAAAAAAAATTCGTTTTACATAAATAAATAAATTACACAGTGTTTTACTCATTTATATTTGTTTTTATTATATGGTGACCCTCATTAGGATATAAACCTTGGAAGGCCAGGATGTTGTGTGTTTTATCTCAGCTGTATCTCCAGGGTCTGGAGTAGTACCTGCAACATAGTAGATGCTTAGTACATTTGTTGAGTGAATGAATAAATATTAGACTGTTTGAAACTATGTCCATGTTGCAGTGGCGGTGATCATAACACCATTGTATCTCTTTATAGTTTTAAAAGTTCTTTTATAATGGTTAAGCTAATTTGTTTTATACTCACCTTTTGGGAGATCATGCTGATTGATATTGGACCAATTTTACAGGTGAGGAAATTAAGCCTAAGAAGTTGCATGACTTCCCAGAGGCCATTTAGTTTAACATATCCTCCCTTATGAGCTGGTATTTGTTAGCAGTGATGGAATAAGTACTGAGAGTGAAAAAGTAAGTCAACTACTACTTTTAAAAAGTAGGAACATCAAAATATAAAATTAAAGCACTTACTATTGTCTGGGGAAATGAGGTAGCCCAAGAGAGCCTGGATGTTGTGGTATTACAACTCGGCAAGAAAAGAATGGATCATGATTGGTTCTGGGATAGGAAACATAAATAAACTATCAAAAATGACATGCTGAGCCGGGCGCGGTGGCTCACGCCTGTAATCCTAGCACTTTGGGAGGCCGAGGAGGGCGGATTGCTCAAGGTCAGGAGTTCGAAACCAGCCTGAGCGAGACCCTGTCTCTACCAAAAATAGAAAGAAATTAATTGACCAACTAAAAATATATATATACAAAAAATTAGTCGGGCATGGTGGCGCATGCCTGTAGTCCCAGCTACTTGGGAGGCTGAGGCAGTAGGATCGCTGAGCCCAGGAGATTGAGGTTGCTATGAGCCAGGCTGACGCCATGGCACTCACTCTAGCCTGGGCAACAAAGTGAGACTCTGTCTCAAAAAAAAAAAAAAAATGACATGCTGACAGGAGAAGGAGAACATAGGTTATAAAGAAATAATGGCATTTAAACATGCCAAACCATAGGTGTTACTAATGGCTACATTTGCATATAAGTGAAAGTAGCCAGCATGTGTGTAACTTGACTCAGGTCCTTCTTAGCACTTTCCTTGGGAAGTCAAAGTTACTACTACATTCTTCTGAGGCAGAGCCCACCAAAGCTACTGTTCAGCTGATATATCCTGAACTGCCACTTGGTGGTTAGCTGCTGCCCCAAGTACCCCAGATGCCTGCCCACTGTCTAAAACCACTATGTCTGGCAGTGGCCTTGGCCCCTCCTCAGGACCCCAACCTCTCATGATTCACCAGTGACCAACAGCATCCACTCTGATTATTTAGTGTCTGTCTTAGTCTATTTCTGCTGCTATAACAAAATACCTTAGACTGAGTAATTTATAAAGAGAAGAAATTTATTGGTTACAGGTCTAGAGGTTGATAAGTCCCAGATCAAGGCACCAGCAGAGTCAGTGTCTGGTGAGGGCTCGCTTTCTGCTTCTTAGGTAGCACCTTCTTGCCACATCCTCACATGGCTGAAGGGAGCAAGGAAGCTCCTTTCAACCTCTTTTATAAAGGCGCTAATCCCTTTTGTGAGGGTGGGGCCATCATGACTTAATCATTTTCCCCAAAGGCCCTACCTCTTAATACACAGTGAATATTAGATATTAGACTCCAACAATACAAATTTTGAGGGATACCAACATTTAGCACTATCCATGTCATACTGGTGGTTAAACATCTTCCTAACTGCGTGTTTATTCTTTTTATCAGAACCTGAGGCACAGAGCAAGAGTTGAACCTGGATGGGCTGCCTCCAGAGTTTGTACTGCCTCTTTTCCCTTGGCTGAAAGTTCAAGAAACCCACATGGAAATTATGTGGTTACCTCTAGAGATTCAGTTGGAGCTTTGGCAGAATTGGATGTTTTATTTCTTAACAAAGATTTTTAAAGCAAATGTTTAAAATCAGCAGTTGGTACTGCTTCATGACTAAAGTTGTTTTTTGTTTTTTTTTTCCCAAAACCTAAAGGTTTTGTTATATTCTTAATCATGCTTTTCCTAGTGGGGCAAATTCTTTCCTCTCTATTCCTATTGTACTGATGTCCCTATTTCATACTTTCCTAAGCTTGTGTCTACCTCATCTATCTATCCTGCACTTGACTCATTTCTTGGAAGCACTCTGCCTTGTTGCATTCTCTGAACTCAGCAAGTTCATCATGTTGACGCTTAAACCCTCCTGGAACTGGCCTGATGCATCCTCAGCCTTGATTTCCATTGCCCTCCTCCAGTTGGGATAGGCTTGTCGCTGGCCTCCACTTCTAGCTTTTTCTTACCTTCAAGCATCTGTTCCTTGTTCATGCAACCCCTCTGCTAGGGATCCTTTGCTCATTCTTCCACTTCAGAAAGTCACTGATCCAAAACCTTTTCTGAAAAAAATTTAGTTCATGTATCTGGAGACCTGGGCATTACCCCACAACCAGACCTATTGGTGCTTCTGCAGGGAAACATGCAAATTCTCACACTAAATGGGATGAAAACAGATTAAACCTCATATAGATTTCAGTTAGGTCTGAGATCAAGGTGTGGTGAAAAAAAATTGCAGTCACATTTTGCAATAAACTGAAGAAAAAGCTTTGGATTTTTAGACTTTTTTGTATTTCAAAATTGTGGATCTTATTTCTACTGAAGAAACTTATTTTCTCCATTAAGGCTTTATTAGCGATTTCTTTCACAATGACAACTAAGTCCAGTAGACACTATAAGATAGAAAAATGAGCATATATCCTTGAGCTCAGTATTTTACCTTTCATTAATCACTTGTAGCCTGATGCCCTAATTAGTGTTTATTATGTATTTATGGATTAGAATTGAGCAGCCCAGAATTTAGCTATTGGTATTGAATGGCCTGGCCAGAGAAGGGAGGCTTGGTGTCCAGAAACACTTTGGAAATCTCCTGGGGCTATTTTTATAAACACCCAAGATGCACTTGACCATATTTATATATACTTCTAACTAGAATGTGTCTTTTCAGTGGGATGTAACTTTTCTAGGTAGGTCCAGCACTTAGAGCATGGACCTTTCTGTGGAGGGACTTGTTCCTCTTTGTTTAATTGTAGTGTCTTCTTCCTCAGCTGCAGGGAACGCATTTTGTCAGGCAGCCAAGCTCCACATGCAGCTTCAGAGCAAACATGACTCTGCAACCAGCTTTGTGGATGCTGGAAATGCTTACAAAAAGGCAGACCCGCAAGGTAAGACGGGTGGGGCGTGCAGCACATCCAGCTCTGTGTGACTAACTAGCCAGTGTTTCCTTCAACCTGAAGGTCAATGTTGGTGTCCTTTTCTCATCCTGGTAAAAAGGAGTTTTTGTATTTTGGAAAAATAAAGAAATTTTGGTGACTTAAGGAATTTGTCTTCTTTAATCATTTAGGAGCTTTTATAAGGAGAAAGTATGTTAAATTTAATCCTGGCTGTTTAGTTGTCACCATCATTTTCTCAAACTCCATTTATGTTGAAATTTAGGGAATTTTTTTGGAAGTTACCTTTAATTTTATCTAAGACTTCTTATATCTTAATTTTATGGAAATATATATTGATCATAAAAAATTCTGATGTTCTCTTCTAAATATACAATGAATTTTAAGGTCCAATTAATGGGAGTTTATAATATCTGATGGTTTTAAAATCTTTTATACAGTATCCATTTTCTTAAAAGTATTTTTCAAAGTATTCATTTTGAGGGAAGAATGAAATTGGTTATTTAAAAATCTTGCAAATGTTATTTTTTTGGATAGAATAATATACTTAGCAATTAAAAGCGTTAATTTCTTCTCTCCCACACATGTGCACAGAGAGCTTTGCAGCTCCCTTTTTTTTTTAGTAGTTCATTTGTTTAACATAGAAAATCCCAACTTTTATAAATATATCATAAGGAAATAAGATTTCTTCAAGGAATTTTGTATAAAAATTAATTATAGTTTATTTCCAAAAGTGAAAAACAGCTTACATGAGCAGTTAGAGTAGAATGGTAAAATTGTAATACATCAGTACTTTGGACTGTGATACAGACATTAAAATCCCTGGTTTCAAGGAATCTTCAGTGACCTGGTAAATGTTCACATGGTAATTAAAGAACCACATGAGACTGGATATTGTATAATCTCGATTTCAGAAAAAAGTTTGTGCACGTAGAAATGTATTTTAAAAACCACTGGAAAGACCAAGTTTGGTGGCTCACACCTGTAATCCTAGCACTCTGAGAGGCTGAGACAGGAGGACTGCTTCAGGTCAGGAGTTCAAGAACAGCCTGAGCAAGAGTGAGACCCCGTGTCTACCAAAATTAGGAAAAATTAGCTGGGCGTGGTAATGTGCATCTGTAGTCCTAGCTACTCAGGTAGCTGAGGCAGGAGGATCACTTGAGCCCAGGATTTCGAGATTGCAGTAAGCTATAATGATGCCACTGTACTCTAGCTGGGGTGACAGAGCAAGACTCTGTCTCAAAAAAAAAAAAAATCGTTTTACATAAATAAATAAATTACACAGTGTTTTACTCATTTATATTTGTTTTTATTATATGGTGACCCTCATTAGGATATAAACCTTGGAAGGCCAGGATGTTGTGTGTTTTATCTCAGCTGTATCTCCAGGGTCTGGAGTAGTACCTGCAACATAGTAGATGCTTAGTACATTTGTTGAGTGAATGAATAAATATTAGACTGTTTGAAACTATGTCCATGTTGCAGTGGCGGTGATCATAACACCATTGTATCTCTTTATAGTTTTAAAAGTTCTTTTATAATGGTTAAGCTAATTTGTTTTATACTCACCTTTTGGGAGATCATGCTGATTGATATTGGACCAATTTTACAGGTGAGGAAATTAAGCCTAAGAAGTTGCATGACTTCCCAGAGGCCATTTAGTTTAACATATCCTCCTTTATGAGCTGGTATTTGTTAGCAGTGATGGAATAAGTACTGAGAGTGAAAAAGTAAGTCAACTACTACTTTTAAAAAGTAGGAACATCAAAATATAAAATTAAAGCACTTACTATTGTCTGGGGAAATGAGGTAGCCCAAGAGAGCCTGGATGTTGTGGTATTACAACTCGGCAAGAAAAGAATGGATCATGATTGGTTCTGGGATAGGAAACATAAATAAACTATCAAAAATGACATGCTGAGCCGAGCGCGGTGGCTCACGCCTGTAATCCTAGCACTTTGGGAGGCCGAGGAGGGCGGATTGCTCAAGGTCAGGAGTTCGAAACCAGCCTGAGCGAGACCCTGTCTCTACCAAAAATAGAAAGAAATTAATTGACCAACTAAAAATATATATATACAAAAAATTAGTCGGGCATGGTGGCGCATGCCTGTAGTCCCAGCTACTTGGGAGGCTGAGGCAGTAGGATCGCTGAGCCCAGGAGATTGAGGTTGCTATGAGCCAGGCTGACGCCACGGCACTCACTCTAGCTGGGGTGACAGAGCAAGACTCTGTCTCAAAAAAAAAAAAAAACCACTGGAAGGAAAAATGCATCAAACTACTAACAATTGGATTTGAGTGGGATTATAGATAGGCTAGTTTCTTCTTTATATGTTTCTGTATTTTTATAGCTATAACAATGAATCCATTTTTATATAGTTTAAAGAGAAATTGCTTTAATTTTTGTTATCTGTTTACCTTTCTAATTCTTCAATTAGGCCTTTTCACTTTGCTGCCTCTTTTAAACCAAAGGCAATAACTTTGGAGCTGTCAACTAGAAGCTACCATTATAAATACACTATTTTATGATAGAAGTTTTTGGCTCGTTGTTTTAAAAAATTAATACAATTTATTAGCATTATCGTCTATTCAATTTTTTCTTCTTTTATAGATATATTAGTATACCAAAAGTTAGCATCTTTGAACATTATAAAAAATGTTCACTTTGCTTAAGAGTTGTCTGAACAGGCACTTCAAAGTGCTTTTACTTTTGGCTTTATGAAGAATAGAATCTATTAAAGTGATTCTCGTGACATGATACCATCTTCCAAAATTAGTATATACATGGTATTAATGAAGAATATGTTTACATCTATATTGTAGCAGACAAAATTTATCAGTGTTGGTGACAACCTCCATGGTTTTGTTTTCTTTATAATACAGTATTTCACATTGCAGTTAGAGTCCTCACTTTAAGGTTAAGAGAAACTGAGCCAATATTACTCCACCTACAATTCCCCAAATTACACTGTAGCTGCTGGGAGCAAAGCCATGTTGATGACTTTGGGCTTATGCATGAGTTGTTTGCTTCTCACTAACTAACCTGCCCACCCTCCACCCCAAAATTATACCTCATTAACGTTCTAATAACAGCCATGCAGACAGGCTCACCTGAACCCTCTTTGACTGAATGGATTTTTCATTGTTTTTCTTAAATGCCTACGCTTCAGAGGCTATCAACTGCTTAAATGCAGCCATCGACATTTACACAGACATGGTAAGACATTGCATTGCTTGAGTGGCTGTGGGGTGGAGTCCTTGAGATGGCTTCAAGTTGTGTTCTTTTTATTTCTTTTCCCAAACTGATTGGCATTCAGTAAAATGCACGAGTGACTGATTTTTGTTTTTTCCCCCAGGGAAGGTTTTCGATTGCAGCCAAGCACCATATCACTATTGCAGAGATCTATGAGACTGAACTTGTGGACATTGAGAAGGTAAGCAACAGGCACAGTTCCTCACAAGTGAAGCATGTAGAGAAGTTGACTTGAGAATTCTCCTTTCCCCATCAAGTCTGAGTGATCATAGATGGGTTTGCATGAAGGCTTTCAGGAACCGGCTGGCCAAGTAGACCAGCTACTTTTCTGGAGGGAGTATCTAAGACATGAGAGCTCACTCTTTGATTAGAACATTAGTATTACCAAAAGAATCTTTAGCTCTATCCCTGAGTACCCTGGGAAGGAAATGCAAGTGCTCACTCTGTACTCACTCAACCATCACAGCCTTAAGTATCATCTGTCATCCAGCAAATCACAAATCTGATTGCTGCCCAGACCTTTCTCTAAGCTCCAGATTTCTGTGTTCACCTGCCTGCTGACCTTTCCACTTGCATCCAGCAGCTGTCTCCAAGCCAGCATGTCTTGAGACTAGATTCTGATCTCAAGCACCCCCTAAACTGCAGGCTTCCTTACCTTTCTCTTTCTCTCTCTCTTTCTCTCTCTCTCTCCCTCTCTCTCTCTCTCTCTCTCCTTTCTCTCTTTCTGCCCCCCCCCACATTTGACCTGTGAGCAGTTTCTGTGGGCACTGTCTTCCCTGCTCTCAAGTCTCAGCACTTCTCACTACCTCCTTGTCTCCCAGCTTGTGCTTCATCCCCGCAAGAGCCTCCCCCTGCTTCTACTCCCTGTTTCCCCCTCCCTGCCAACCCCACACACCCATGCCACAGAGCAGCCAGAGTGATCCTTGTGAGTGGTGTATCAGATTCTGTTTCTCTGTGGCTCATTACTTTTTGTTGGCACCCTCTTCCTTTAGAGGAACAGTCAGAGCCTTGCAGAGCCTTCATGGCCCCACTGAATTGCTCCCCAGAGCCCCCACACATGCTCCTACACCTATAGGACCTATTCTCTGTCCTTTTAGTATCCTCCCCTTGCATATCCTGCTTCAGCCACCATGGCCTCCATGCTCTCTTCACACATGCTAGGTGAGCACAGGCCCTTTGCACTGCTGTCCCCCCTGTCTGCAGAGCTCTTCCCCAAATGTCCCCTTGGCTGACTCCTCAAATCCTTCAAGTCTACATGGTCAGTTTCCCCATGTGCCTCAGTTTTTGCTCATTTATCACCTGTTCCATGAGGGCTACCATGGCCAACTATTAATAGTTAAAATTAAAACCTCAGCTTCTCAGGAATCCATACCAGACCCCCCACACACAACTCACTCAGCTTTTTCTCTCTTACTGCATTTGTCGCCTTGCACCATGCCCTGGGAAATGCTTGCTCCTCATTCCTGGTGTTTGCCTCTCTCCCTCCACTAGAATGGGCACCTGTGTCCACAGAGAGCTTTGCCTCTGTTTTACTGATGTGTCCCAAGAGCCCAGAACTCTGGGACATAGTAAGCTCTAAATAAGTATTTGTCAGATAAACAAATGACTACCTCTGCCATAGCAGATGGAATCTTGATTCAGAGAAGTATCACTTAGCAGTTCTAAAGTTGGACTGGCGTTATTAACGCTCGCCCTCTGACTTCATGCTGACTGCCACCTTTTGGTTATTCAGCATAAAATGCATAAAATTTGTTCATGCGTGTTACATAAAGTTCATTATTTGGCTGGTTTTTAAAAATATATATATATTTGCCATGAATTTCTGGGAATACCTTCTGAGCCTCTTGATCAAGTCAGGGCCACCTTGTGCATTGGCGTGTGTGTGAACCATCTCTTTTGAAGGTTGTGTGGGTATTCTGAAGGAAGATAATGGAGTTGGACCTGAGACCTCCTTTGTTCCCTGGTATGAGATGGGTGATGGGACAGGAGGGGGATGCATGGGTCAAGGTGTCTTAGATAGGCATGGTACATTTACTGGGGTTGAACGAGTCTTGTGGGGATAAGCACTGTGTGTGGAGCACCTTTGCCAGCAGAGGCTCCTGCGCCAGCTTGCTCTCCCACAGCGGTCAGGGGAACACCCTGAGGGCAGGAGCCCGCAGTGCAGCGCCTTGCCTTCTCTGCCACCAGGGCATGGTCTCGGGCAACTGCTCCACCACATGGGTATCCATAAAATTGAGGGTGGGTAAAATGATCTGAGGCACACTGCTTTTTTCCTTTTCTTTTTTAAAAAAATGGTGATTTGTCCTGGCAGCTTCTGAAACCCCCATTATCTCATGGTGTTCCTGCCATTCTGAGAATTGACCAGTAGGTGGCACCTTTTCTCATTGATGTGGCATGTTCTTTTAAAAGCAGAAGAATATTATTGAACACTCAAGGTTAGCTTGTTATGGTCCCTGACGTTCGGGCTCCTGTGTTTAGAAACATCATTACCCTCTCTTCCCTAGTTGGACTCACCGAATGATTGTCAGTGGTGTATGAAGTTTGAAAAATCAGTTGCACCAAAAGTACCTTTTATCTGGTTTGTTACAGATGAATTTCTTCCTATTAGGTACTACTACCCAATGCCTGTTCTCTGATTCATTCGCAGATTTTGATTAATGAACAGTGAAGTATTATGTTTTATAAACTTATATTACTATTACTTCATGAAGTAAAACACTGAACCAAATAATAACTGGGTACACTTTAGATTGTCTTTTAAATGATCCACAGGAACTCATTTCTGTTTTATCCCCGGGAGAACCTAATTTAATACTATTAGCTGTAGCATAAGATAGGTGTATGTGGCAGGTTCAAGTAAGGTCCTGTCTAGGGGTATTTGTTGTGAAATAATTGATCCCACTTTAAGGCTATGTAAGGTTCTTTCACTTCCACAGTGGACTGTTAAGCTTGAGCCCTGGAAGGTGGATTTTCTTTAAGGTATTGATGACGGTGCAGTCATTGTGGCCTTGTTTCTCATTTCAGGACCCCATATATTCTCCATGTATGAGGTTCTTGGGGAACCTCATTTGGTTCCCCAAGAAGGAATATCGTGACCCCTTTGGCAGTCTACTTAAATAGTAGGGTAATAAACTGGTCATAGTGTCTGTATTCTTATGTGTGCTGTTGTTATGGGTGGTTGTGTCTGCTTTTGATATTTATTGTAGTCCTTGAAATTGTCAGAGCAAAATGATTTGTTGTATGTAAAGATCTGCTTGTGCCTGTTAAATTTCACTATTTGTTAAAATTCCAAAGGAGATGTGAACATCTAGACATATCCTGTGGCCAGTCTCTTTTCTCTGAAACTTCTGTATTAAACCAGTGGATATGCTTTCCTTTCAAGTCCATTCTTTGACAAAACTTGGGAAAACTGTGGAATTTGATGATTAGTTAAATTAGCATTATTGAAAGTAGGGTTTAAAATTTTTCTTTTACTGTGATAAGTGTAGCTACAGTTTATATTTCTAATATTTTGATGAGTGCCATTATTTAATAAGTATCAAGTTAGACAAAATTGTCAATATTGAGCTCTTTAAAAAAAAAAGCAGTTACATATGGTTCAAGTTAACCCTATTAATTAAGTTCTGGTGCTTTAATAACTAGGAAGATAGGTGCTCTGCCCTGGGACGAAGTTATGTAATCCAATACTGTTTATAGAAAGATTTGGCGAAGTTTCTCATACCTTACCCCATATATTACAATGGAAAAGGGTGCTAAATTAACACTTTACAGAATGAGGCCAGTTCAGAGGAGGTTAATTTTGATTAATCATAAATAAAAAAACTTTTCTTTCCTGGATATTCCAAATTAGTCAAGATACTGGCAGTAGTTTCATATGGAACTTTCATTTTTGATGCAATTTATGTTCATCCACTTAGCATCTGTTTATTGAGCACCTACTATGATGCCAGGCAGATTGCTAGGCCCAGGGGTGTGATGGGGAGCAGAACAGTTGAGGGCCTTCCCTCACAGAGCTTACATTTTAGTGGGCGAAGATGTATAGTCATCAGCTAATCCCACACATGTGTGTACATGACAGCTCTGAGAAGTGTTCCAAAGGAATATTTTTTTCCAAACTGTTTCCGTGACTATATATTTGCAAGAAGAGGACCATAGTGTACTTATTCTTTTATAGCTACATTTTTAAATTTAATATTTCATGAAGAATTTTCCATATGAATACTTTCCATCCATTACTTTTAATCATACTACAGTAGCTCATTATATTTAACCACTTAAATTGTTGCCAGTTTTTCTTCTATTATAAATAATTCTGAGAAAATATATGGTTCGGGGAGCATATTAGTTAGGGTAGGCTAAGTAGACTTAAACTATAATCATTTGAATGGAGTTCAGATGTCTGTTTTTCACAGAACTGCTCAAAGTGAATGAATGAAGTTCTAGGAGGTGCTGTGCAGTCCAGAGACCAGCCTGATGCTGGCTTTGCCACTTCTAGCCTGTGGCCTCAGATGGCTCTGATTCTTCTCTGATAGTCATTGCCAGCGCCACCTGCAGGGAGCTCTGGGGTACCAGGGGCTCCCTGTGCCAGTGACAATCACCAAAGTGGTTTTCTAGCATAGTTCCATAGCCTGTTTGGTTTTATTTTCTTGTTTCTGTGCCTCTCTCTCAACTCATTAGGGGCTGCCTTGAAGCCATTGAACTAATGGGCTTGAGTGGGAAGGGAGCACCTTTAATCTGATTTTTGTGTAGCACTAGCTCTCTTATTTTGGCTTACTGAGAAAACTTTGAAAGTTAAGGCAGGGGTCTGCACACCCACCACCTGTTTCTGTATGCCTGAGAGCTAAGAATTTTTTTTATATTTTTTAATCATTGAGAGAAAAACATTTTGTGCCACATAAAAATTATATGAAATTGAAATTTCATTTTCTGTAAATAAAGCTTTATTGGAACATAGCCACACTTCTTCATTTATGTATCATCTGTGGCTGCCTTCTTGCTACCAGAGAGCTAAGTCATTGCAACAGAGATGATATGGCCTACAAAACCTAAACTATTTATTTATTTATAAGAGATAATCTGTTATTAGATATTATAAAATAATCTCTTATAATTTGGGGTATAGAAACTGTTGGTTTGTCCAGTCTTATAAGGCCTTTATTTCTGGACTTTGTCTATTCTCTTTCATAACTACCTGCAAACCAGCTAATTCTTTCTAGAGTCCAGCACTCCTTCCTTCCTGAAAACAGCAATATATGCTATCATGTGACTCTTCTCTGCTATTTCGCATGGTTTTCAGCTCCAGTAGCCACGTGTTCTACCTTCTAAGTTGTACATGTTTGGTTTCACTAAATCTTCTGTCACAGCATGACAAGGGCTTCTAGCTTTCTGGCTTGTAGCCTCTGTTCCCTGTCCACTTGACTGTTAATTGCGTGCCACACATTTTAGATTAAAGCCAACACCCTTACTCTAGATGACACTTCAGGTATTAGTGAGGGTAGTCTGTGCTGCAGGTCAAACCTAAAGTATGACAGGGCTTCATATTTTTCTAAAATAACAACTAAATATAGCTTTTATGGGTTTAACAGTAGTAGGGACACTGGGAATGGGGGTACATTCTGCCCTTTTTAGTTATTTAAGAACCCAACTGACGGAGTTCTGCCATCTAAGTTGGTGGTTTTCAGTGTCACGGGACGTGGTCTTTGCCATTCTAGCTCATGGGAACTGGAAAAGGTCTGGAGAAGGATTCAAAGTAAGATGTATGGCCTAAGCCTGGATGTGGCCCACAACATGTGTGTCTACCTTCCATGGAGAGAACTAGTCACAGGCTGCCCTTAATTGCAGTAGAAGCTGAGCAAATAGTGTAGCTGGGCATTTGCTGGGGAGGTTGGGGGTGGGGGTTGGGGAGAGGGAAAACAGACTGTGATGGACAGCAAGCATTCTGCCACCAAGAGGGTTCCACAGGTGTATACTTTCTTAATATTCCTTGAATGAAGTAGGCTGGGTTGTGAAGAGTTTGCTGTTGAATAGGTTTATTTATAGGAAAAATACCTATGCAAATGTAGTTTTTAAATACAACTCTACAGTGGGGCACAGTGGCTCACGCCTGTAATCCTAGCACTCTGGGAGGCTAAGGTGGGTGGATTGCTTGAGGTCAGGAGTTCAAAACTAGCCTGAGCAAGAGCGAGACCCTGTCTCTACTATAAATAGAAAGAAATTAACTGGCCAACTATATATATAGAAAAAATTAGCCAGGCATGGTGGCGCATGCCTGTAGTCCCAGCTACTCAGGAGGCTGAGGCAGAAGGATTGCTTGAGCCCAGGAGCTTGAGGTTGCTGTGAGCTAGGCTGACGCCACGGCACTCACTCTAGCCTGGGCAGCAAAGTGAGACTCTGTCTCAAAAAAAATAAATAAATAAAAAATAAAAAAAATAAATACAATTCTACAAGTGAATTATAAAATATTCATGTATTTTCAGGCTATTGCACATTATGAACAATCTGCTGATTATTACAAAGGAGAAGAATCCAACAGGCAAGTATTATTTTTCTTAATATAATCTAATGGGTTTTATTACGTGTTATAAAAAACAGATCTTCTTTATATATACTCTATGAGTGTGTTTGACTGTGTCAAATGAAAGTTTAGGGTAGGGGCCCATGTGCACATCCTTTATTTTTCCATTGGCCTGTTATTTACTCTGCTCTGGTTCTTGATTTCAGCTCAGCTAACAAGTGTCTGCTGAAGGTGGCAGCATATGCCGCCCAGCTTGAGCAGTACCAGAAAGCCATCGAGATCTATGAGCAGGTGAGGATACTGGTGTCTCCTCAGAAGTTATTCTGAATTATTTTTTTAAATTAAACTTACTTAATTTTTTATATCAAGATATAATTCACACATCATGTAATTCATCCTTTTAATGAGTACAATTCAGTAGTTTTTAGTGTATTCACAAAGTTGTATAACCATTGCCACTACCTAATTCTAGAACGTTTTCATCACCCCCAAAAGAAACCCAGTACCCCATTCTCCTTTCCTCCCACTCCTTGGAAAACACAATCTACTTTCTGTCTCTATAGGTTGCCTATTCTGAACTTTTAACCTGTATGGAGTCATACAATATGTGGTGTTTTGTGACTGGACTCTTTCAATAGCATATTGCTGTCAAGGATTATCCACACTGAGTTGGTCTGAGGGTTGTAGGTTATTGTTAAGCTGATTTAAGATTGTCTCCCCCACAACGATGCTTGACTAGCTTACAAAAAAAAGACCATCTATGTTGTGACATGTATCAATCAGTACTTCCACTGCTTTTCCTGGCTGGGTAATACTCTGCAGTCTGGACATTTGAGTTGTTCCCCCTTTGGGGCTATTATGAATAACACTGCTGTGAACATTTTTGTTAATGTTGTTGTGGGAGTCTGTTTTCAGTTCTCTTAGTTATATACATAGGAATGGAATTGCAATTGCTGGACCATGTGGTAAGTCCACGTTTAACTTTTTGATGAACTGCCAAACTTTTTCACAGTGGCTGCACCATTTTATCTGCCCACCAGCAGTGCACAAGGGTCTAGTTTCTCCACATCCTCACAAATACTTGTTGTTTTCTGAGTTTTTCAAAATAATAGTCACCTTAATGAGTATGAAGTATTGTCTTGCCTCCCAAGTCACTGGGATTACAGGCACATGCCATCACACCTGGCTTCATTGTGTTTTTAATTCACAGCTCCCTAACAATTTGTGATGTTAAGCATCTTTTCATGTGCTTATTGGCCAATTTTATATCTTCATTAAAGAAATGTCTATTTCAGTTCTTTCCCTAGTTTTTAATTGGATTATTTTTGGTGGGAAATTTTAGTTCTTTGTATATTCTGGATATAGATCCCTTATATATGTGGTTTGCAAATATTTTCTTTAATTCTGTGGGTTTCCTTTTTACTCTGTTATTACTATCCTTTGATGCACAGAAGTTGTTAATTTTCATGAAATTCAATTTGTCTATTTTTTCTTGAGTTGTCTGTGCTTTTGTTTTCATAGCCAAGAAATTATTACCAAATCTGATATCAGGAAGCTTTTCTCCTCTGTTTTGTTCTAAGAGTTTTATAGTTTTAGTTCTTAGATTTAGGTCTTTTATCCATTTTAATTTTTGTATATGGTATCAGGTAAGGGTCCAGCTTTATTGTTCTATATATGGAGATCCAGTTTTTTCAGCACTGTTTGTTGAATAGACTGTCTTTTCACTATTTAATGATATTGTGACCCTTGATGAAAATTATTTCACCAGTATGAGAGGGTTTATTTCTGGGTGCTCTTTTCAATTGATCTATTTATCTATCTTCTTACTAGTGTTACACTGTTTTGATTACTGTAGCTTTGCGTTAAATTTTCAAATCGGGGCTGAATGCTGTAGCTCACAGCTATAATCCCAGCACTTTGGAAAGCTGCTGTGGCAGGATTGCTTGAGACCAGGAGTTTGAGAACAGTCTGGGCAACACAGCAAGATGCTGTCTCTGCAAAAAAAAAAAAAAAAATTTAAGTTAACCAGGCATTGTGTCCACCTACTAGGGAGGCTGAAATGGGAGGATTGCTTGAGTCCAGGAGTTTGAGGTTTCAGTGAGCTATGCTCATGCCACTGCACTGTAGCCTGTGGACAACAGAGAAAAACCCTGTCTCCCTCCAAAAAGAAAATGAGACAGAAAAGTTTCGAAATCAGGAAATGTGAATCCTCCAACTTTTTATTCTTTTTCAAGATTCATATGAATATTAGGATCAGCTTGGTAATCCTTGCAAAGAAGCCAGCTTGGACTTTAATAGAGATGGTATTGAATGTATAGAACAATTGGAAGAGTCAGGGTTTTCTAGAGAAATAGAACCAAGGGGAGATATGTGTGTGGAGAGAGATAGAGTGTGTGTGTATGTGTATGTGTGTGTGTGTATATATATATAGAAAGAGAGAGGATTGTAAGGAATTGACTCACTTGATTATGGAGGCAGAGAAGTCTTTTTTTTTCCAGAGAGAGTCTTGCTTTGTTGCCCAGGAGAGTACTGTGGCTTCAGCTTAACTCACAGCAACCTCAAACTCCTGGGCTCAGGAGATCCTCCTGCCTCAGCCTCCCAAGTAGCTGGGACTACAGGTGTGTGCCACTATGCCTGGCTAATTTTTATTTATTTATTTTTATTTTTAGTTGCCTGGCCAAGTTTCTTTCTATTTTTTAGTAGAGTGGGGTCTCACTCTTGCTCAGGCTGGTCTTGAACTTCTGAGCTTAAGCAGTCTTCCGCCTAGGCCTCCCAGAGTGCTAGGATTACAACAGGCGTGAGCCACCATGCCCAACCTGGAGGCTGAGAAGTCTTAAGAGCTGCAGTGGGCAAGCTGAAGACCCAGGAGAGCCAATGGTATAGTCAAGTCCAAAGGCCTGAGAACCAGGAGAGTGAGTGGTGTAAGTTCTAGTCTGAGTCCAAGTCTGAAAACAGGAGAAAACCAGTGTCCCAGCTCTGTAAAACAGTCAGCATTGAGAATGAATTCTCCCTTACTTAACCTTTTGTTTTGTTCAGACTTTCAATGAATTGGATAAGGACCACCCACAGTGGGGAGGGCAGTCTACTTTATTCATTCTTACTGATACAGTTATTAATCTCATTCAGAAATGCCTACACAGATACACCCAGACTAACTCTCAATATCTGGACACCCTGTGGCCCACCCAAGTTGACACATAAAATTAACCATCACAAAGAGTATTGCCATCTTAACAGTACTAAGTCCAACAGTTTGTGAATACAGGATGATTTTCCATTTATTTAGATCTTCTTTAATTTTGTTTAATGCTGTTTTGTAGTTTTAAGTGTACAAGTTTTGTACATTGGTGAAGTATACTCCAAAATATTTTATTCTTTTTGCTACTGTTAACAAATGGAATTGTTTACTTAATTTCTTTTTGAGATTGTTAATTGCTAATGTATAGAAATATAATTCAATTTTCTTTATCAATATTGTATCCTGTAATCTTGGTGAACTTGTTTATTAGCTCTAATAGATTTTTTGTGGATTGCTTAAGATTTTCTACATATAAGTGTCATCTGGAAGCTTTACTTTTTCATCTCCAGTCTGAATGCCTTTCAGTTCATTTTCTTATCATTTGCCATGGTTAGAACCACTAGTATGGTGTTGAATAGAAGTGATAAGAGCCGTGGCGTCAGCCTAGCTCACAGCAACCTCAAACTCCTGGGCTCAAGCGATCCTTCTGTCTCAGCCTCCCAGTAGCTGGGACTACAGGCATGCGCCACCATGCCCGGCTAATTTTTTCTATATATATATTAGTTGGCCAATTAGTTTCTTTCTATTTATAGTAGAGACGGGGTCTCGCTCTTGCTCAGGCTGGTTTCGAACTCCCGACCTTGAGCAATCCACCCGCCTCGGGCTCCCAGAGAGCTAGGGTTACAGGCGTGAGCCACCGCGCCCAGCCTCCTTGTCTTGTTCTTGATCTTATAAGAAAAGCTTTCAGTCTTTCACCATTAAGTGTGATATTAGCTGTGGGTTTTTTGTAAATAGTTCTATAAGTTTGAGGAAGTTCCCTTGTCTTCGTTGTTTGTTGAGTGTTTTTATCAACAGAGTGTTGGATTTTGTCATATGCTTTTTCTGCATCTATTGAAATGAGCATATGATTTTTGACCTTTATTCCATTAATATGGTATATTACATTGATTGAATTTTTTTGTATGTTGAACCAACTTTACATTCCTGGAATAAATCCGACTTGGTCTTGCAAATTTGGGGAGCCCCCAAGAATGCTCACAGTTTGATAATTTGTTAGAAGAACTCACTGAAAGCTGTTATTCTCACAGTTGTGGTTTATTATAGCCAAAGGGATATAGATTAAAATTGATCAAAGGAGTCTGGGCGTGGTGGCTCAGGCCTATAATCCTAGCCCTCTGGGAGGCCGAGGCGGGAGGATCACTCAAGGTCAGGAGTTTGAAACTAGCCTGATCAAGAGCATGACCCCTGTCTCTACTAAAAGTAGAAATAAATTAATTGGCTAACTAAAAATATGTAGAAAAAATTAGCTGGGCATGGTGGCATATGCCTGTAGTCCCAGCTACTCGGGAGGCTGAAGCAGAAGGATTGCTTGAGCCCAGGAGTTTGAGGTTGCTGTGAGCTAGGCTGATGCCACAGCACTCTAGCCAGGGTAACAGAGTGAGACTGTGTCTCAAAAAAAGAAAAAAATTGATCAAAGGAGAGGCTAATAGGGCAGGATCCAGGGAGTTCCAACTATGGAGCTTGCAGTTGTCCTCTCCCAGTGGAGTTGTGTAGACAGCACACACTTCTCCCAACAGTCGTGTGTGAAAATACTCATAGAGTATTGTCAAACATGGAAGCTCTTGTGAACCCAGTGGGGCTCAGTGACGTAGACATGGTTTACCACACTTGTGGTTAACCTTATTCTCCACCCAACCATGGGTTGGACATTCCAAGGGTTTAGAGATTACTTCCCAGGAGCCACAGGCAAAAGCCAGACCTCTCTTTGGGTAAGATTAATCCTTTACTGCACAGTCATGGTATGTAATCCTTTTTGTAAGTGACAGAATTGGTTTGCTAATATTTTGTTGAAGATTTTACATCTATATATTCATAAGGGATATTGATCATTAGTTTTCTTTTCTTGTTGTATCTTTGTCTGGTTTTGGTATCAAAGTAACTCTGGCCTCAGAATGAGTTAGGAAGTGGAGTGTTCCTTTCTCTTCTGTTTTTTGGAAGAGTATATAAAGGATTGGTGTTAATTTTCCCTTAAGTATTTGGCAGAGTACAGTGATTTTCTCTATTTTTCTGTTTTCATTGATTTCTGTTTTCATTATTATTTCCTTCCTTCTGCTTTCTTTGGATTTGTTTTGCTCTTCTTTTTCTAGGTACTTGCAGTGGAAGCTTAGTTTACTGATTTTCTTATTCGTTACATATGCATTTTTAGTGCTATCACCCTTTCAGCGCTATGTTGACTGTGTTGTACAATTTTGCTATATTATTACTTTGATTTTAATTTGGTTCATTGCATTTGTTGATTTCCCTTAAGACTTCATTGATCTATGGATTATTTAGAAGTGTTTTATTTAATTTCCATGTGTTTGGTGGAGGTTTTTCTTGTAATCTTGCTGTTGTTGATTTCTAGTTTGACTCCATTGTGGTGAGAGAATACGCTCTGTGATTTCAGTTCTTAAAAATTGATAGAGGTTTGTTTTATGGCCCAGAATATGGTCTGTCTTGGTATATGGTTTATGATTCTGCTGTTGCAGTGTGATGTGTTCTATAAATGTTGATTAGCTCCTGTTGGTTGATGGCATTGTGTTGAGTTCTTTAATATACTTTGCCAATTTTGTTTGTATTTCTATCCACTGTTGAGAGTTGGGAATTGAACCTGCTAGCTATAATTTGTGGTTTTCTCTATTTCTCCTTTCATTCTGGCAGTCTTTGCTTTACATATTTTGCAGCTCTGGATTGCTGTTCTTTTTGATGGATCGACCCTTTTATCATTATATAATGTCCTCTGTCTCTAGTAATTTTCTTTGCTGAGATCTACTTTACCTGCTTTATACCTTCTCTGGCTTTCTTTTATTAATGTTTATATATGGTTTTTCTGTTATTTTTCTTTCAATCTGCCTGTATCATTATAACTGAAATGATTTTCTGGAGTTTCTTATAGTTGGGTCCTGTTTTTTAATCCACTCTGCCAGTCCTTTCAAATTGGTATATTTAGGTCATTCTCATTTAATGTAATTATTGATACATTAGGGCTTAATTCTGCCATTTTATTTTTTTCTTTCTATTTTTGCTTTGCTTTTTATTTCTGTTTTCTTTTTCCAGAATTTTTTTGGGTTACTTGGTTTTCTGTAGTGTTTTTTGAGTACAGATGTTTCTCAGTATCTGTGGAGGACTAGTTCGAGGTCCTCCTTCATATACCAAAATCCAAACATACTGAAGTCCCATGATCAGCCCCGTGGAACCTGTATACATGAAAAATTGTATATTTACCCTCTGTTTACTTGGATTTCTCATTCCTTAGAATACATTATTTGCAGTCCTCAATTATTTGAAAAATATCCATGTATAAGTGGACCTGCACAGTTCAAACCCATGTTGTTTGATGGTCAGCTGTATAGCTCTTTGAATTTGTTTTTTAGTGCTTGCTCTAGGTATTACTTGATATTTACATATGTTGTCACAAACTAATGGTATCATCATTTTATCAGTTCTGGTAAAATGCAGAAATCCTACCTCACTTTACTCTCCCCATTCAATATATAATTGTCTTAAATGTTTCCTCTACATACATTTAGAACTACATTAGTCAGAAGTTTTGCTTCAACCATCAAACATAATTTTAAAAACTCAAGAGGACAACGAGAACTCATTGCATTTACCCATATTTTTGCTTACCATGTTCTTTCTTCCTTCTTGATTTTCCAAGATTCATTCTTTTATTATTTCCTTTCTACTCAGAGAACATCATTGTGCCATTTTGTTTTTAAGGTAGGTCTGCTGGCAGCACATTCTCTTAATTTTCTTTCATCTGGAAATGTCTTGATTTCCCCTTCATTCCTGAAGCATATCTTCGCTGGGTGTACAATTCTAAGTTGATAGTTACTTTCCTTTAATTAAAAAAAAAAAATGCAATTTATGGCCTCAATGAATTTTGATGAGAAGTTTGTTGTTTTTCACCTATAGATAAGGTATTGTTCTCTGGCCACTTTCATAATTTTTTTCTTTATCTTCAGTCTTCAGAAGTTTAATTATAACACATCTTATATGAATATATTTGATTTCATTCTATTTGGGTTTCACTAAACTTCTAGAATCTTCTATGTTTCTTGCCAAATTTGAGAATTCTTCAGCAAATAGTTCTTCAAGTGCTTTTTTAGCCCCTTTCTCTTTCTCCTCTTCTTCTAGAACTCAGATGACACAAAAGTTAGACCTTGTTTTATAGTCCCATAAGTCCATGATGCTGTGTTCATTTTTAAGTCAGTCTTTTTCTCTCTGTTGTTCAGACTGGGTAATTTCTATTGTTCTGTCATCCATTGCACTGATTCTTTCTTCTGCCCCATCCTTTCTGCTGTGGAGCTCACCTACTTTTCATGTATGTTATCATGTTTCTCGGTTCTAAATTTTTCGTTTTGTTTTTCTTTATATCTTTTGGTTTTTTCACAGTGACTTTTTCTTTATTAATGCTTTCTGTTTTCTCATTCGTTTTCAAGTGTTGTTTTCATAATTGCTTGTTGAAGCATTTTTATGAGGGCTCCTTTAAAATCCTTGTTAGATAATTCTAACATTTCTGTCATCTTGGATGACATTTCTGTGACATCCTGTCACATTTTTGTCACCTATTGTCTTTTATTTATTTATGTTTTTGAGACAGAGTCTCACTCTGTTGTCCTGGCTAGAGTGCCATGGCGTTAGCCTTGCTCATAGCAACATCAAACTCCTGGGCTCAAGTGATCCTCCTGCCTCAGCCTCCCAAGTAGCTGGGACTACAGGCATGCGTCACCATGCCTGGCTAATTTTTTCTACATATTTTTAGTTGGCCAATTAATTTCTTTCTATTTTAGTAGAGATGAGGTCTCACTCTTGCTCAGGCTAGTTTCAAACTCCTGACCTTGAGCGATCCTCCTGCTTCAGCCTCTCAAGAGTGCTAGGATTAACAGGCATGAGCCACCGCGCCCAGCCCCTATTGTCTTTTTTATTCAACTTGAGATCTTCCTGTGTTTTTGTTATTACAAATGCTTTTGGATTGAAAACAAGGCATTTTCACGTTAGGTTATGAGACCCTGGATCTCATTTAAACCTTTTCTTTTGGCTGGCCTTCTTTGACACTCATCTGGCTGGGGAAAGTTGAAGTGTTGCTCCATTACTACCATGTAGAGGTAGAAGTTCAAGCTCCCCATTAGGCTTCCACTGACATCTGAGGAGCCTGGTTACCCCTGGGCAGAGGCAGGCATCCCCGCTCCCTACCTGGTGTCCACCAACACCATACAGGGGTTGTTCTTGTTTTCGTTTGGTGATGGTGAAAGTCTTCACCCTCCACTAGACCACTTCTGACACCTCCTAGCTGGGAGATGGAGGGGCACCATGTTCCTGCTGGGTACAGGTAGAATCCAGACTCCCAGTGTGGTCTGTACTGCCTCAGTGGCAGGGGGGAGAGCAGGATAAAGCCTCAGCTCCCTGTTTGGCCCTCCCTGAGGCCACCTTGGTGGGAGTGCTGGACTCCTCCTTATAATCCTGCAAGAATGGTCACCATGGCTCCCTTCTCAGCCTTGATGATATGGGGGTGGGTCATTTTTTTGTTGTATTTGGCTGGAGTAGAGAGGTACTGTTTAAATGTTTTCTCTCTTGGTAGGCTGCCCCTTTCCTAGTCCTCTGGCTAGAGAGAGCAGGCTTCTATCTGTTCTCTTTTTTGGTCTGCACCTATTGGCATTTCTAGGTTGCTTATTTTTCACTTTCATGCAATAGATACAGGAAGAAACAAGAAAACCAGGGAGCCTACCATCATGTTTTGCCTTGAGCCTTAAAGTCCCTAGCTGGTCTGCCCTCTTTTGTCCACCCCTCATAGACATTTGTTTTATATAAAATGACCTGGGCTCTTAGTTGTGCTTAGTGGGAGGAATGGGGGAAAGGATGTCTCCTCTATCTTTCTGGAGACAGTAGTCTTCCAAGTTGTTTTCAACAGGTTAGCACTTTGTATATGTAATATTCTTGTCTAGTAAGATTTTCCACTATCTGGTATTGGGTTAAAAGAATGTATTTCACAGCTAAACTAACATAAGATATGTATTTTCTAAAGAGCAACAGGTGAGAATTATTTTGCCTAATATAAGAAGGTAAACCTTTTACATTTAACTGTTTTCTTTGCCTAGGTTGGGGCAAACACAATGGATAATCCTTTGTTGAAGTACAGTGCAAAGGATTACTTCTTCAAAGCAGCCCTCTGTCACTTCATAGTGGACGAGTTGAATGCCAAGGTAAGGAGTCCCCTGTGAATAGTACACTACATGTACTCTGCTGTTCTTGATGTCATTTCATTTGGGTGATAGTAGCTAGACTAAATTGAGTTCATTAAAAGTAATAATAATTCTGTGATATATGTCCCAGCTGTAATCTTTTAACAGCTGCCAAAGCTGTTCTCTTAAAGTTTTTGGGTAGCCACATTTCCTTTAAAGAAATTTGCTTTAAAGAGATTAGGGGGCTGGGCGAGGTGGCTCATGTCTGTAATGCCAGCGCTTTGGGAGGCCAGGTGGGAAGATCACTTGAGCCCAGGAGTTTGAGGTTGCAGTGAGCTGTGGTGGTGTCACTGCACTCCAGCCTGGGTGAAAAAAGGAGAGAAAGAAATTAGGGAACTAAGGGGGAGAAAATAAAGGTAGATTAACATCCTTAGAAAGAAAAAAAACTACTCAGAAATGGAGTTGGAATGGGGACTGGGAAGAAGTGAAAGCTGGGAGATGAGAGGCAAAGGTGGGGCGGGCACAATGGTCAGTGTCAGGAGTCTGAAGAGCAGGGTTAAACCCCCAAGACAAAGAGTATTCTTTCCTCCAACGTTGGGCCAGAATCTAAATGTGATTTATTTGTAATCTGGATAGTGTTAAGGAAGAGCTTCTCCATGATAATGATGAACACAGACATCTGCTCTGTGAATTTTTAGAATTAATTTTCTTTCACATTGCCTTCTCTAAGTGGCCTACCTTAGATAAATGGGTTTAGAAAACACATTTAATTGAAATTGAAAATTCAAAATAAATGAGTTTCCTGTGTTGATTCTGTAGTTGGATTTAATATAGTTAGTTCTTCTTCTTCTTTTTTTTTTTTTTTTTTTTTTTTTGAGATAAAGTCTCACTCTGTTGCCCTGGCTAGAGTGCCGTGACATCAGCCTAGCTCACAGCAACCTCAAACTCCTGAACTCAAGCGATCCTCCTGCCTCACCCTCTGAATAGCTGGGACTACAGGCATGCATCACCATGCCCAGTTAATTTTTTCTATATATTTTTAGTTGGCCAATTAATTTCTTTCTATTTTCAGTAGATACGGTGTTTCACTCTTGCTCAGGCTGGTTTTGAACTCCTGACCTTGAGCGATCCTCCTGCCTCAGCCTCCCAGAGTACTAGGATTACAGGCGTGAGCCACTGCGCCCGGCTTAGATAGTTCTTCTTGAAGTTAATATGATGTTAAAAGCTTTGTTTCCTAGTTCAGAAAGTCTGACATTGACAAGTGATTTTTCTTTCTCAGCTTGCTCTTGAGAAGTATGAGGAAATGTTTCCAGCATTTACTGATTCAAGAGAATGTAAATTATTGAAAGTAAGTAATATTAGAACTTCAAAGAGCCTTTGCTCTATCAAGTAACAATACCTAAATGAAATTGGGTTTATAGTGGAGTTTTCATCCATAAAGTCTGCTGAGGAGACCCGGTACTTTCCTAGCTTTGCGCTATAAGAGCTCAAATGTCATTACAGTCAGGAACATAGCATTGTGTTCTGAAACAGGCATTACAGAAATACTAGTAAAAAAAAAAGCTAGATTCCTAACTTGGATCTTGATTTGTATTTGAATGTTTCCCCAAATCTGGGGGAAATCCCCAGATTTCCTCAGTTGGGGAATCTCACGCATTCCCCAAATGTGTGAGATATTTGGCAGTGTGACACTAAAGCTGTTTCTGTGTTTAAAGTATCATTCAGAAATAGGACTTTTTCATCTTACAAAACTAATATTTTCATATTTTTATGCTACCAGAAACTTCTAGAGGCTCATGAAGAACAGAACAGTGAAGCTTATACTGAAGCAGTAAGTTCTGCCTTTGGGATATATTACATTCTTTGAAGACTTAAGTTATAGAATTCTTTTCCTTTTCATTATATAAATTCTGAACATTTATTTGAATATTATTCCAACATACCTACATTGTGTTTTCCAACGGTCATGTTTTATTTCCTCCCACAAATTAGATAGTTCAATTAGCCATGCTGAAATGCCAGTTGTACTCAGTGCTGTTTCCTGACTTACACTCAGAACTAATTTAGCTTTCAGGTTAGTTCAAGAGCAAATATCACATATATGCTGTTACGATTTGTCATTTTAATATTTTCTTTTGAAAATAATCTGATCTAAGTAAGCCAGGCATGGTGGCACACACCTGCAGTCCCAGCTACTTGGAAGCTGAGGTGAAAGGATCTCTTGAGTCCAAGAGTTCAAGGCTGCAGTGGGCTATGATCATGTCACTGTACTCCAGCCTGGGAGACAGAGCAAAAAAACAAAAACCAAAAACAATATGATCTGTAAATAAGTATAAAGTAAAATTAGTTAAAAATACAATTCAAAATATAGAAATGAAGTAGAGTTAGCTATATTTGTGGCTTAAAATAAATAAAAGTTTTTTTCCTTTATACTCACCCTTTTTCTGTTTTCCCATCTTTTGCCATCTTATGTTTAGATTCAAGCAGATTTCTTAATAACTACCATTCACATGTTCATCATGTCTCTCAAGTGATAGTAGAAAGGAATATTTTCCTATTTATTAATAACTTTTTTTGCCAAGTCATTTTTATCCTATTGTAAATTTATTCTTTGGTAATGCATTAAAATGTATTAAAGGAATTCTGCTTCCACACATTGTAATTCTACAGTTATGTTTTTCCATGTTCAATGAATATTAATTTCCCACATTCCTTTCTAATTCTTATGCAGTATCCAGTTTCCTCTGTCACATACGAATTTTTGTCATACACACATTCACCAATACTATATCAAAAGCCCAGGAACTTGTTACTAGTACCATCAAAACAGTAACAGGATAATGAAAAAATAAACAACTTTTAAAGAATAAAGTTATAAACTGAAATGATAAATTTCTAATGAAGAAAGTTGGTAGATTATGACTGTAAATGCAGCTTAGGATACTGTTATTTTGTGTTTTGAATGTATTTCCATGCAGTAATTTCTGTTCTTCTTTCCTTACACTAGGTGAAGGAATTTGACTCAATATCTCGCTTGGATCAGTGGCTAACCACCATGTTGCTTCGTATCAAAAAGTCCATCCAAGGGGATGGAGAAGGAGACGGAGACCTAAAATGAAAAGTCTCTATCTTTGTGGCATGTAGCTAACTCCTCTTTAGTTTTGTCTTAGGGCTAAGTGATCTTTATGGGATGCCCATTTAATGGCTTAATTTTGTTGCATATGAGCCAAATGGCCCGTGTATTGTTTAAGCTCACTGTGTCTGTGTTGCTGTGGAACGGATGAAGGGAGGCTTCTGTTTACCTGTGGTTGTGATGGGCTGTTTTGTGCTTATCAGAACCCCTAGTGTTTTCTGAGAATTACTTCAGAATCTCATTCCTATTACTTTGATATTTTCAGGGCCCATGTTTAATGTTGCCACATTTTTATGTTCTTTTCCTTGGACTGGAGTACCCAGCCTAGTTCTAATAGATGCTTTCTTTGCATTTTCTCTATACGTTGGTATCTGGATGTTTTCTTTAAATGCGTGAGTTTACTTTTAGGACAATTAGGAATGAGTTTATAACTGCATTAGAAATCATTTATATTTTTGTTTTCCTGTGATTATTTTGATTGTATTAGTGACAAGTTTCTTTGCTTTTCATATTATTCTGTATGCTAACATGTATGTGCATGACAAAAATTTATAGCAGCCAAGGTCTGTCGTTATCACATTTTGAGGAAAAGCACTTCCTAGTAGCACTTTTTGTGTGTGTGTATGAATGTCAAGGTGGATTCAATTGACTTACCCTTAAACCCATACTCACACATGCACACAAACAAATCATAACATCTATTAGAAACGAAATTTTCCCTTTCCCTGGAGACAGTTTCCACTTTTAGTGGGAGTGGAAAGCCCTTTCTTTATATTTGCATATGAGTGTTTTAATTGGCACATCCTGCTATTTATTTTCATGTTCATACACTTTCCCACATTGAGCTGGTATCTTCTGTGCCATGGTCATATAAATTTTGATCAGGGCTGGATAGATTAAGTCAAGCTTGAGAATGTATGTAATTAATTTATTCATTTATTGAACTTAATGAGTTAGGTGGGGGTAAAGTATGATACAGGAGTTTACTTTTTGACCAATTGGGCAAGAACCCTAACTGCTTCTGAGGGTATTTGATCTTCCTCTTAGGTTGTGTGTTTGAACTTTGTCCTTGTATTTCTGTTTACATAAGTATGTATGCTCTCTTGATTTGTGAATTTGATCCTCCCTATTATTTTATATGCTGATATTGTACTTTAGACATGGTCTTATTTCCTGAATTTCCTGTGTGTATATTTTATAGTTAAATGATTTTTGACATGCATTTATTAAAAGTAGGATGCAGTGGCATGCACCTGTAATCCCAGCTACTCAGGAGGCTGAGGTGGGAAGATCATTTGAGCCCAGGAGTTCGAGGCTAACCTGGGCAACACAGGGAGACCCCCTCTCAAAAAAAAAAAAAAAAAGATACAAATGATATGCATTTGTTGCCAGACATAACCTTTGGTTCTTTCTAAAGTGTGATGCTGTCATTAATGACAGATAATGAAATTTCCTGTGTCATGTCAGGTAGTAAGTAGTATTGGAATGATGTTTTCATTTTTGGATGGCCCTCGTCTGGGATTAGTAGGATTTTGTTGGGTAGAAGTAGATTGGGTGTGCCCAGGCCAAGGGTCGCGTGAGGGGGATTTGAGGAATGGTGAGTAGGTCAATCTAGGATGAAAGAGAAAGTAGCAGGAGATAAAGTTGAAAGGACCAGCTAAAGCCAGATTGTAGAGGTTCCATACCAGGTGGCCGTGAGGACTCGTGGCCATAGTTATGCTGGTGGGTTTTGTGAGGTGGGCTGGTAAAGCGAAAGCTCCGTGATGTCAGTATCCACTGGGGTGGAGGGAAGGGGCCAGAATGACGAAGACACTCTGGCCATGGGCCGTAGAATCTGACGAGAATTCCTTCCTTCCTTCCACAGTCTGAGATTCTTAAGTGAAAGCTGATTGTCACTGAAGAGCAGCTCTAGAATCATGGCCAGTCAGTGTTTCTTCACTCTCTCTTAGACTCTCTTATGAAAAAATGATCAGAGAAAAAAGTGGTTTCTTGTTGCTATACCTAATATATTCTACAACCAGCCAAATAAACTTTTGTGAAAATGGGGCGTGGGGAGTGGTTCTGACTGGCTTTTCTAGTTTTTAAGTCTGTTCCATTAGGAGAACATTTGCACAGGCCAGCCAATGTGTTTGTTGTATCACTAATTTAAAAAGTTTGTTTCTACTTGTTAAAAGACCCTTCTAATCTGACCACTTAAAATATAAACCAAATCATTTTAGGGCAATTCTGTTTATCTTTCATCATAATCCTTTAACAGACACCTGTCTGAAGAAGAGGTATGGTTTTTTTAACACAGTGTTCATAACATTTTGTTACATCTGAGAGTTTGCTTCTTTGTATTCAAATAAACACTGGGACTGGGGCCTGGGTTAAAAATTAATTTTTGTCTGTAATATTTCATATGAAAAGAATAAAAGTAATTGTAATGACTAGAATAGACCTTCGATAAGATAAAAGGAGAATGAGAGAAATGCCCAGACAACAGTGTACAAACTTAATTCCTTTCAGTGTCCCATGGACGTAGGACAGCGCCGTGTTTCCAGATGCCTTGAGTCGGGTCTTCAAGATTTATAGATACTATTTATGAACAAAATATAATGATTATTTATGGTATAGCTTTTGTACTTCAGCAAGTCTGGGGTTGGTTCATTGTCAAAGTCAGTTAAAATTTCTTATAGGAAAGCTTTGCTTTTTGTGGCAACATTTTTATAGCTTGTGTAAGTTCCTTGTTTTAATGATTTGAAAACAGTATTTTTGCACAGTCGTGACCGTGTGTGGTGGTGTCACTGTAACCAAAGTATATGCACCAGCCTTGTACATTTATTGTTTCCTCTGATTTTGTGCATTTAAAATGTCCAAATACAAACCTTTGTGACTTTCTCTGGAGGAATTGGCAGCACAGCATGCCCCTGTGACCTGCCCACTGCCACGTGAGAGCTGTAACCAGTGGCAGGTTTCCTGCCCTGTGGAGTCATGAGTTGCTCTCCAGTAAGGGGTTACATTATGAAAACTAACCATGTAACAAGAAATCTATCTTAGCAGAAAGAGTATGTTTGTTTTATTTGAACCTGTACAGTAAATAAAATGGAAATTATAAGTAATATTTTGCCTAGTCTTGCTAAATTTACACAGGTCAAATAAAAGGATCTTCACTTTCTTGAAGTTGTTCCCATTAAATTTAAGGCATTGCACATTAATATTCTCTAGGCTATTTGAACCTGAGTCACTTGATGGGAGTTCAGGGCACTTTAATGGTTTTGCAGACGGCAGGGTTAGCAGGAAACCCTGGTTGCATGTGTTGATGCAGTCCACTAAAGTGCATAACTCTGCAGAGCTCACGTTCTCATCACTTCTTGAATCCTTCAGGCTCCACAGTTACTTGCAAAGTTGAGGAAGTAGTGGTTGCTGGAAGACTGTTGGGTGATGGGAAGGCAGGAACCCTGAAGCCTGCCACTCCCTTCACCCCAAGAAAGTGCCACCCAACTATCTGGGCACTGTAGGCCACTATTTTAATTTTGCACATATCTGTACAGGGGCAGCAGGTGCCGCTGCGGAAGGGTCAAGCCCAGGGACCACTGGGGCCTGAAGTTCTGGGGAGGACCACGTGGGGTTGTATAGGCTGGCTGGTCCTGTCATCCTGTCATAGCATTGATTTCAGGTCCGAAAGCATATTCACGACTCTCCAGGTAATTCAAAGCCAATTTTTAATGTTACTTTGTTTGATATTCCCTCATTATCAGTATACCCTTGAGAGTACAGATGTACTATGTAGCATCTTATTTAAAGTATTGAAATTATTTCCATACATTATTCAGCACTGACCTCTAAAGGAGAAAATCTCTGCATACTTGTGTTTTTAAAAAGGAACACAGGAGTTTTCATACAATGTAATATTTAAATTTAAAAATGCTGAGTGCTGGGCATGGAGGCTCACGCCTGTAATCCTAACACTCTGGGAGGCTGAAGTGGGTGGATCGTTTGAGCTCAGGAGTTCGAGACCAGCCTGAGCAAGAGCGAGACCCTGTGTCTACTAAAAAAATAGAAATCAGCTGGACAACTAAAAAATATATATATGTATATAAAATTAGTTGGGCATGGTGGTGCATGCCTGTAGTCCCAGCTACTTTGGAGGCTGAGGCAGGAGGATTGGTTGAGCCCGGGAGTTGGAGGTTGCTACTGTGTTTCCCTGAAAATAAGACCTACCGATAAAATAAGCCCTAGCAGGATTTCTAAGCATTTGCACAATATAAGCCCAACCCCCAAAATAAGACCTGGTGATGGGTGTGGCTACGCTTCGTATCTGCACAACCCATGCATTTCGTCACGGAGCGGTAAAGAAGACAAGCAGCCCTTCTCATCTGCCCCATAGTGACAGCTAGTATCCCAGAGGTGACCAGAAAGGTGCAGGCAGCCCCACCAACAAGGTCGGCTCCCCGTCAGGTCCCAGCAATCCTGTGCGTGCTGCATGCTGAGGTTTTAAGGAGAAAATAACACATCCCCTGAAAATAAGCCCTCAGGTGTCTTCTGAGGAAAAATAAAGACCCTGTCTTATTTTAGGGGAAACATGGTATGAGCTGGACTGACGCCACGGCACTCTAGCCCAGGTAACAGAGTGAGACTCTGTCTCAAAAAAAAATATATATATATATATAAATGCTGAGAATAGACACTTTTACTACAAAGGGAAAAAATTCTCATCTAGGCATTGTTAAAAAGTTAAAAAGAACATCATGACTTTTCAGTTATATTTCTGCAATTCTTCACCAAGTAGGAACAGCAAATATAAGGGGTTTGGAAAAGGTACTGGTGGGTTTAGGGTGAGATTAAGGTGAGAGAATATTTTCTCTTTTTTTTTTTTCTTTTCCCCTTTTGGATAGCAATGACTGCCAAATTTTCACCAACTTTAGTTTTAAAATCCCTTTTCTCTAATGTTAGGGGGGAAATGCAGTATGACAAATCACTTTTTATACACATCCACAGACGTTCCTCCAAGAATCCAACCACTCTGTACTGCAAAATACTGTTAACTACACCCACGGAGAATCACAGGGAAGCCTGCCCGGGAGACCACAGGCAGCCCAGCCCAGACTCTCCCAGCACCGCGGGGCTAGTGCTCAGTGTGCAGTGAGCACAGGCGTGGAACAGCTGATAACCAGCCGTGGCGGTGCTGCAGCAGAGCCCGCCACAAGGCCTGCAAATTTTTTTAAATGGTAGAATATGCCATCCCAGTCTAGGAATTCTGAGAAGTTGATCATTCAAGGTCTAATCATTCAAATGTCTCTTCTCAGTTTCCTAACAGAAAGAGAAGCCACCTGGTGGGTTCCAAGCCTGGTTTTGTCAGCATTAGTAAGAGACCCTGTGCAGATTGCCAGAGTATGATCGGAGGCTCAGGTAGGGTGATGTGCTAGATGGCCCTGTGACGTATTTGTGGCCTTCTCAGTCACATCTGCCCCTGTCCAGCTGGATGTGAACCATGGTCCTCTGCACTAGTGCCCTCCACCCACCTGAAATAATATTGTCACTCCTAAGCACATGAATACCATCAAGTTTAGTTAAATGGACAAGCATCCATTTGGTTTCCAAAATATGTTGAACTTCCTGGTGTGACAAGATTTAAACGTTTAGCAGGTTAAAATTAAATTGTAATAGACTCAAATTTGTTTGGATAATCACCAAAGCAAAACCATCTCTATTAAAATCATCTTTAATAAAAGTCTTCCCTAACACATGGCTCATTTTTTCAAACTCTATACAACAAAATGTATGGCAAAACCAAGGCCTAAAAGTATTTTACTCAAAATGATTTGAAGGCACTAAGTCACCTAAAAGGCCGTCATTAAGGCTCTGAGAGCAGCAGTGTGCCAGCACCCAGGCCACTTTCCTCATTGCTCACGTGGGACACACGGGTGGGCCTGCCTTCCACTCAGCTGTGCTTGGATTAGGAGGAACAAGGAGATGCCCCACATGATCTTCTGTAACCAGTCTCCTACGGGGTTTGCAGGCTTCTCTGTTCTCAAGGACAGGCTTACCTTCCCAGGAAGGGGACAGATAAATGTATATAGTAAAAGTTGTCTCTTTGATGCCTAATTGAACATTACATTGAAGAAACTGGCAGAGAGCTCCGCGGCACTTATTCACGCCCGCCTGGCTGCCATCTGTACGTGAGCAGAGGGTGATTCTCTTTCCAAGCTGCCACTGCTGGACACTAACTGGGATGCAAGCAGTTACACAGTTTTAACCCTTGGACTGTATGAAATAAA